GGTTGTAGTGTCTGTTTGAATCGGAACGACTACATTGTGTATCTGTGTATATCCAGTAGTGCTATGAATATCTGCTTAGGGCAACTTACGAATATTAAGTTGAATGAGTGTTTTAGACATCGTGGGGTTAGAAATATGACTTAGTAGCTGCTTTGTGGCGCTGATGTGGACATATTCATTTATATTATTATTCAAAATATAGAAATTACCGAGGCTTTACTGTAGTGTCCTTTGCTGCACATCATCCTGTCTGTCTGCTGTCGCTCTCCAGGTTAAAGCAACAAAGCAAAAAGAGCTTGTTGTTGTTGTCTTGTTTGTTTGTCTTCTCCTTTATTTCACTGCGGACACAAAAACTAATTCCCACGCTTCTTTGTTCCCTGCAGGACGTTGGCCCGTCAGGGTGCGTGTATCTCCCGACCACACTACAGTCTCCTCTACAGACAGTGAGTTTTGTGTGTGTGTGTGCGCTTGTGCGAGACCACTTGGGTTCACATACTGCTACATCTCATAGCAATAATGCATAAACACGCTCCAACCCATGCACTGTAAATATATGTACTGTCAACTTCTGTACCCTAAATACTTTTCTTTATCTCCACTACAGTGCGGCTCCAATGGGAACCACAGCAAAGGAGGAGATGAACAAGTTTTGGTCGAAAAATGCCAGACTAAACAGACCCATGTCTCCTCATATCACCATTTACAAGTATGTACTGTATATCACGTGCAGTACAGTGTGTCGCCTGCGTCTCGTTCAGAAGAGACGTTGGAGATGACTCAGTTGTTCAAGTGAAATTGTACACTCCATTTATGTTTTATAACTTCACCTGAACATTTTCAAAGACACTAAAACTCCACTGCAGAACATTATCCAGGTTGAAAATATTATTACTATCAATTTTCAGATCCTGCAGTCTTTTCATTCTTTTTATGCTGATAAAACAGCAGGACAAGCCACCATTAACAGAGCGCTCCGTGCCTTTGGATACATTTACTGCAATGAGCACCTAGATAGACAGGCAGTTACAAGAAACTGAAAACCTTTTTATTCAGTATGATCTTTGTAATTTCACACTAGGTTTCCTTCCTGTCTTTTCACTTTGCATTTTCTCGTTCATTTTGGATCATTCTTGTATCTAATCTATATCGGGGAACTTGAGCTCCAAACCATTGGTTGTTTCTAACGTTGGTGATTTAAATCCTTTTCTTTTTTTCTGTTTAAAGTTACTCTATACAAAAACAATAGCTTAGTTTATATCTGCAAATGCAGAACTTGGAATCTATAAGTGAAAATGTCCACTGTCATTTATTTTCATTTCAAAGTGAAAAATACCTTCAGCTTTGCTCTGTGAGTCTCAATCGCTTTGAAAAATAGTCTTTCTTTCTTTCTGTACTGTGTTCAGAGCCTAACCCGAAACAAAATGGGTTTTAAAAATTCAAATAAAAGTCAGTGAAGGTTCAGTGCTTTGACTTTTGTTTCAACCACATACAGTACATCTGCCATTATAATAAATGGGTTGCATTTTCTTCTGCGTTTCAGTTGGTCCGTCCCCATGGTGATGTCCATCACACACAGAGGAACTGGAGTGGGGCTCAGTGGAGGTAACGCGTCTGCTTGTTCTCACGTTTATTTTCTCATCATTTATTATTGGATGAAACGTTTATTCTACTGCCATTGTCAGCTTTTGACTGACCCTGAAAATCTCCACAGGGCATTTTAGTCCACAACTATTGATTTCTGCTAAGAGCATTTACTGGCATTACGAAACAGAAGTTGTTCAATACATTTCACCCCTTTTGCATGTGAAAATCAAGTCTAGCACTGGACTGCTAACAGCTTTTAGTCATTTGCGTGGTGTACAGGTTGAGCCCATGTCACTGTGACATTGTACATCAGTACTGTTGACCCTGATGTACCATTCTGTAAAAGCTGGGTCCAATTTTGTTTATAGGTTAATGGGTTCAATTAAGGTCAGCACCCTTAACTGCCAGTTTAAAACCATCAGCATGGCCTAATGAAAGTGTCTGAAATAAAGTTTCTGGCTTCCTTGCCAAGGGCTGCTAAACTAAAACTATCACCTGCTGAGAGTAATTTTACAAGCCATATTGATTTATTGTAATGTTTAGATATCCCACCACTGCTTGCAATGCTATTTTGCATATGGAATTAAAACTCAGAGTTAACTCAGTGTTTGATTCAATTCACATATGAATGGATGTGTATATTTCTTTGTGTGTATGCAACTATGCATTTTGTGTTCACACTGATTCACACCTGCTATGTTTTTCCACAAGTAAATAACTCCTCCCATTAGGCCTTTTCACAGAAAGAGAAGCACAGAGACCCACTGAGTGCAGTGTATTGTAATATGCAGCCAACCAGGAGCCTGTTTGATACAGAGCCATTGTTTGGTCTTCGTTTTATGTGGTCAGCAGGGAAAAAAGTCTATACATAACTGAGATATTCAGATGTGACTGGCCACTGGGGTCACTGGGGAGTCTAATCCAGCAAAGACAAATAGTAGTAGCATGTTGGTGTTAGATTTCTCACTTATTGCTGATCTCTCTAAAAGGCATGCATTTTTCTCTACCACCCATTCATATACACACCTTATTATGTCTGTGTCCAGCTATCTCGGCCTTTGCCCTGGCAGCGCTGGTATTACCGGAAAGTTACCCCCACTACCTGGACTTGATCCACTCGTTGTCCGTCGGCCCGTTTCTCATTGGGTTGGCCAAGTTCGGCATCGCCTTCCCCGTATCTTACCACACCTTCAACGGCATCCGACACTTGGTAAGACTTAATAACTTTATTATTGATTTATAGGCCTAGCAAATGTGTGCAACCCCATACTAAAGTATACTTAAAATTCTTTTTTTGTTGCCATTACCACGTTTGGTGTGGTGTCTGGAGTCCCTTGCACAGATCTCTGAGCAATTTAAAAACAGTTTTCAGTTTTGTCACGTTAGCTCATTTGACTGATGTCATAGAACATGTATTACATTTGCCAAGATTATAAGCTCATGGTGTTCTGTTGTTCTTATGCTTAATTTTCTTCTTTCTGTTTTCTCTTATTTGCTTCTTATTATTTAAACCAGTGGTGGGACATGGGCAAGGGCTTCAAAATCCCAGAGGTCTACCGCACCGGCTACACCGTTATTGGTCTGTCCATCATCACCTCCATAGCCTTGGCTTTTCTGTGAGCACCGGACGAGAAGAGATGAGCAGAAACGAAAGGAGAGGAGGGAGCTGAAAGGGAATGTGGAGTGGATTCACTGTGGGAGTTTTGTGTATATGTTCTGTTCCGGCCCACTGCAGGCCCAAATTCATCAAAGTATTAAATAAAGGATTATATCATGCTTTACGCAGAGAATGTGTTGTGATGTTTTGTCCCTTGGAATTAATTATACTCTGAAAATCTTTAAGGGTCATCAAATGCAGCAAGAGTGCAAAGTGCATGCAAATGTGACCCAGTTTATTTCACACTTGTTCTTGGTGTGAACAACAACCAGCGGGCCAAAATTAGACGCGTCCTACATGTTCTGTCCTTATGTAATTTGTGTAATCATGCTGTGACGTCAAATTTATTAATTACTTTTCTCTGCCCTGAGTGCTCCGTCACTGCCAGTCCAACTAGTGCGTCTGCCGGCTGTGCACGAGGATGTGTGTTTGTGTGTGTCTGTAGTGCGGCTGTTGATTGTAGGCTGTCATTCATATTTTACCTTCGCAAGGGCGCAGCTGCTCAGATGCATTTTTTAACACTGAGAAAGAGAAGGGTTGAAATGCGGAGAGGCAGCCCAGTGGTAAAAGCTGTGTATGTGAACAGGCTCCTTACCGGCAGCCTGCCTCAGGCCCTGCCTCCCACTGAGCCACACAGGAGCTACACACTGCACCTGAGCAGCTTTAGTCCTACAGTGTGAATAAAAGCAAACTGTGATGTAATGTCAGATCCAACTACATTTATGTAGCGTACAGTAACAAGTGCACGGGGGGGGGGGACAACAGTAAACGTTCTTGGGAGGAGGCTGCACACTTATCAATTTCGTAACAGCTGGTTTGAAAATGTGTCTGTTTAGATCAGCTGAACCTGCGCAGAGACAAACAACGTGACCACTTAGTTTTGTTACCTCCAACAAAATTGGTTTATAAATTTGTTACTGCTGGCTGGAAGGGAAACTGCTTGTCAACCTGCATTTTTGTCAGAGCTGTTGATGAAATTCATTTGTGAATCACACGTGCTCAATCCTATTGCTTATAAAGGAAACGGTGTCTCCAGTAACTGTCAGTGTTTATAAAAGTGAAGAGCTAATTTGTTGCTTTTGATAATGTTATATTGTCCTCAGAGCCACATCGGCCCGGTTACAAGACAAACATCTCTATATGTAAGAGCCAGCTCAAAATAATAGTCACAGTAAAAACAACACTTGCAAACATTGCTCTCCATGTGACTTTGGCTGATTGCAGGGAATCTGACATGTTGATGATTTGCTGTATAGATCCATGTCGTTTGTTTGTGACTGATGGGAAAATTGCTCAAAATCTGCAGGTCTGAGACTTCATTTGCTTATTGTCTGCTCACGCCAAACCCTGTGGAAATATTTCCCAATTTCAGAGTAAAAACAAACAGCTAATAAAAACATGGGCTGCTCGCTGGAGCCATTCCCTATGAGGAGTGAACACTTTGCCTCATAGTTACTGATGCGTGTACAATGGAAGATGTTCCATCTTTTTGCTTTGCTCCGATAATATCAGTATTATGATGTTTTGACGAGATAACCTGCGTGAAAGCAATGGGGGTGGAGAGCAGGGGCTATCCCCTTCTCTTAGAGCCACAGAGAGACTAATGATTACGCGGCGGCAGCACCCCCTACCGGGCGGCAAATTATTATCCACAGGGCTGCGGTCCTGATGCTGAGGGATGGTGAGGATGCTGCACAGGGCTGGGAGGGGGAGTATAAACCCGCTTTTGATCGAAAAAAATGTGTCACAGTCTCTGTGGCGCAATGGAATA